ATATTACCGTTACTCATCGAGTAAAGTCAGAGCTTTTAGTTACATGGCCTGCCTAATCAAGAATTGTTCTAGGGAACCAGCAGTTAGCGTAATGGCTATGTCGCTGGACTCCCACGTAGTCGACCACAGTTCGTGTCCCGGACCCGGTGGCTTAAAACTCATGCCGGGCACGTGTGTGTGCGTGCCCAAGATCCCGAGAGGAGAATGGAGGAGAAGGGATTGTGGCGTGACCATCCCCCCTGGGGGGTGATTTCTCGCTTTCTGTCTCTATGTCTCTTTCTGTTTGTCTGGCGAGCGCACGCGCCCTACAGTGAAAAATCTCTCCAAAAAAAAAAAAGAATTGTTCTACATCCTATTCATATTTACAGTGACCCACCAACAGTCTCTGTGGTTAAAGAGCTTTCTTAAAGCAAGCTGAACCTGAAACCTAACTTCATTTTATATGTTAAAAGTATATATTTCTGGCAAGGTTTAACATACGCTGAATTTTCCAGGAAAGAAATTATTGTGTAAATCAAGGAAAGACTTTCTTAAGAGAATTCACTATTGCTGAAATCCACAATGACATACTACTCGTAATACTTGATTCCACATTAATGCACGTTTTGTCAATCCATACACAGTATTCACGGTGATTGTACAAACCTTTTTCACTTCATTATATATTCTGGTAATTACGGTGATAGAACATTTACATATTTCAGTATGTATTTTTTATTAATAATTGTATTCCTTCTTTTCCTCTTTTATATTTTGTTATAATACATTGATTTATTGATTTTAGTTATCATGTAAGTAGGTTACATTATTTATAAGGTTGAGAACCATTGGTGTAATTTATAGCTCAGTCACTCTCTACTTGCTGGGGCCCCAGTGGCTTTCAGGAGACAGACACTAAACCTACATGCTCGTGAAAGCCCCTCATTTTGAAACTACTAAGACTTTTCAGTATCTCAGTTGCCTCAGTCTGCACAATGCCTGAGGTATGTCCTAAGAGCCTATTTGCAGCAAATCCCCAAATTACGAGCTCTTGTCCTCCTCTCTTACCCGTCATCAGTCATCCTGTTCTCTCTTAGACAGAAGCCAAATGCAATTTAACTTGAGCAGCTATTTGTCAGATTAGTAGAAAAAGGAGTAAAGTTTTCTCCTGGATAAGTAAGTCAAGTAATTTTTTTCTCTTTGCCTGGCAATAATTATCTGTACAAAACACGGACCTAAAGTTTTAAAGTTGTCCCTCATTTTATCCCTGCTCTCACGTCAGAGACGTATATATCATCATCGGCACTTTGTGAGTCAGGATATTTGGGCACAGTTAAGCTAAATAACTTCTATGAATCACACAGATCACTCTTTTAAAATAAAAGAGAATTGGGGATATGAATGTCCAATGTTCTCCTTATGTCTATCTTTCGATGATAGTCAACACTACATAGACATGTAATACAGAAAATTAGTGTAGGGGAATCAGTGGGAGGCATGGTGGTTGGAGCACTGGACTCTCACATGGCTGACTGTGGTTCAAGTCCCAGACCCAGTGCCTTGCTGTCTCACTTTTCCTCTCTTTCTCTGACTTTCCCTGGTGAGTGCACATGCCCTATAGCTAACTCTAAAAATAATAAATAAATAAAATTAAGTAAATAATTATTAAAAAGAAAATTGGCGTAGGCTGTACCTACCTAAATCACGGTTTGATGTTAAAAGATGTGTCTGTCTGACTGAATCCATCGCCACAAGGCAAGGATGTGTAGAGTGTAGGTGGCACTATTAAATCAAGTCCCTCTTTTTGCCTGTTGTTTTCTTTTTTTCTTTTATTTTTGACAGTCAGGAAGAGAAAATATCTCCTAGGATATATATCTATTTCCAGAAGCCAAGAATCTGAGCAGAGGCACATCGGCATCCCTAAGCATAGATTCACCTAATGTCTCCTTTGCCCCTGACAGGAGTCCAGAAAAGCAGCCACTGGAAAACTATGACCTAAACTTTACACAGTAATGGTTCAGTTCAGATTGTCATGACTAAGATCTTGGAAAATGTATACCACATTTTAGATAACTCATTTTGCTCAATATTATATCTGTTGTGGGTTTTTTTAATCACAAAACACATTAACTACATTTCAGCATTATGGTCCCAGGCGAAGACATACTGACTTATTTATCACAAGACTTTTGAGAAAGAGACACTATGATATGAGCACATTTGAGACGTGCACTGTGTTTACACATGCTCAAGAGGGGTGAAGGGGTGACATGTTCTTGGTTTCTTGGGCTACTGTGTACTTGGGCTGTTACTACATGTATTAGGATGCTCACCTTCGGTTCTATTTTGCCTTAAATATCTAGACCCTGCGCAGTGTGGTTTGTGCTAAAACTTTGTTTTAAGTGAAGTTTTATGCAAAATAGCTATAAACCTCAAAAGGACTGGAAACTGCTTTTAAAGAGTGGCATGAGAAGAGTGCGCCTGCCAAAAACTGGCCTCATTGCACTGTCCTCTGCTCTCTGTGGACTTCTCTTTGTCTCCTTCAACAAGTACAATAAGTCTCACTTTGTTGCACTGAACTAAACAGTATATTTACTTTCAAAGGTTTTATGACTATTGGCATTGACTTGTTTCTGTTGTCTAATTGACCTGGTCTTTTATATGGGAACATCATTTGCTTACTTTAAGTTAAGATAGAACATATCATAAATTTTTTCATTTAAACTAATGAAAAATTATTTAAGAACTCTCATACTACAGGTTTTAAGAAAAATCAAAGATGTTTTGTAAAAAATGGATGTATTTATCCTTGGCTTCTTTTTATTATAGAAAATTTATATGACTTCATGTATTAATACAAAAATAAACTAAAAGTGGGATCATAGACATGATTTTTTCTTTAAAAAAATTGTCTTTGACATTCAATCACTGAGTATGATTACGGCACTCCTGAACAGGAACTTGGATTGCTTCTTTCCTACCATTCCAGGACTGTGACCACAGAGGTCCCATTGTACATCAGAAATTTTAGAGAGCGACTGCTGAGGCTTGCAATTGCTATTCCGTTCTTTGTTCCCATCAAGAGAATATAAAGTGAAAAGAAGCTTCATTGTAAATATGATATTTCAATTGACAAATGTTCTCTCATTGTCTAAAAATCACAGTAAGGGTGCCAGCTCTTGTGGTCTAGTGGTTAAGTTGACTGGATCCCACAGGCTGACTCTGCGCTATTGAAGTCAGAGACCCAGCAGCTTGAGAAAAACACCAGGCGTGTGTGTGGGGGCGGGTGTCCAAAATTACAAAGAGAGAGAGAATTAAGGGGAAGGGATTGTGGCATGACCATGCTGCATGGTGGTGCTTTCTCAGTTTTTCTTTCCCTTTCTCTCTTTTTGACAAATGCATGTACCACCTGGCAAAAATTTTTTAAAAGAATCACAGTCAGAAAATGCTAGTGACATCTTGAACTTTTTATCCCAATTATGACAATCAGTTATTTGGGGAAAAAAAATCAAGTAAAGGATATAGTAGGTAACTTAAGTACAAATTAATATTGCTACCAATACATTGCACCTTTATAGTACTCTGTCCTTATCTGTAGTTTCACTTCCTGTCAGTTCAAGTTTCCTGTGGCCAATGGGGTCAAGAATATTAAATGGAAAGTTGAAGAAATAGATAATTCCTAAATTTAAAGTTGCATGATATTCTGAGTAGCATAATATGATCACACACTATTCCACACCATCTCACTTGTGATACGAATTAACCCTGTCCAGTATTTCCATGCTGTTATGTACACTATCCACTCACTTGTCACTTAGTCGTCATCTCCATTATCAGTTTGAACAAATACAGTATTTTTGTGGTCAGAACTATCCATGGTTTCAGGCATCCAATAGAGATCTTTTTAAAATTTTTCTTTTTAAAAGATATTTTTGCTTATAAGGTATGTGGGTTTGCCAGAGAGACAGAGAGCAAGAGAGACAGAGAGCAAGAAATCACCCCTCAGGGGTAGATGGCCATGCCACAATTCCTCTTCATCCATTCTCTTCTCAGATCTTGGGTACACGCATACCTGTGCCCAGTGTGAGTTTTAAGTCACTGGGTCCAGGACTTGAACTGCAGTACGCTATTTGAGAATCCAGTGACCATTATGCCACCTGCTGTTCCCCAATAGATATCTTGAAATGCTCTCCCACTAGATAAGGAGGGAGTATGGTATCTGGTATTAGAAGTAAAGGATAGAAAGGGTTCTATGAGATATAGAGAAGGAGAACACAAATGCTTGATTAATTTTTACTCCATTTTGGATTAAAATACCAAGAGAAAGTGAATAAGTAGTGTAGCACTGTGCATGGGTATAAAAATGTATTAGCTTGATTAAAACATTGTTAAGTTAAACATTCTACTAGGTAGTCCAGCTTACAGTACATAAAATTATGCTGGCTTGAAAACTCCTCCTTACAAAAAAGTATGAAATTCTAAACCAAATATATTTTTATGATTTTATCTATTTTCTTTACATTTAGGCTTTATTCCTGTATCATTAGAAGTAAAAGAATTGTGCTTCAT